GAGGCAAACTGTTACTTCAGGGCTCATACCACTAATTGAATTTCCATAGACGACAATGCTAACATATGATGAGATTGCTATATGAAAATGACGAAGAAAGTTGAAAACATGGCTCAAAAATGGGAAATCAACATGCCAGTAATCAACCATATGAAAAAAACAAACATGTTGTTCAGCTCCAATTCTTGCAAATCTCAGGTAAACAAGACATACCTACTGTATTTGGATTGCACCAAGAGAAATCACTGGAAAAACACCAAGATTAGAACATCCAAATACACACAGAATAAACCCACAGGTACACAGTCGCTAAGTAGTAAACAAAAGACCACATGTTGGTCTCACCTCTGACCCAGGTGATTATGCCCTCAACAAACAGTGAGCACATGAGAAAAAAAATATTTAAAAAATTTCATTTGTTCTTGCAAGCAGCCATTGGTCAATTAGTGGCATGAGACCACTACTGAGTTAACCACTAGAACAGCATGTCACTGCACAACAACTGAAGTATTTTACTTCAAATCTTACCATCAAGTCTGCCCATTTCTTCATCATCTTCATCATCACTTTCAAGAGGATTCTCAAATTTCTCAATATGTGCTAAGGACTGGCCATAATGAGTCAGTTCTTCATCGTCATTGAGGTTGTAAACTGATGCTTTCTCATGGTGTTTCTAAGGAGGTAAATAGGATTGTACACAGATGCATTTTCATGGTGCGTCACGGATGAATATACCCACATGGGATAAATTAATAAAATTTTTTGAATGTTTTGAGTTGTATGAAGCAATTAAACTCACAACTGCTGTGATGAGAGGCGAACACAACTGACTAAGCCATGCCAAGAAGGTTTACAGTGCAATAAAATAGGCGAAGTAAAAAAAGATATATGATATACCTTTGTTGTTTACACCTACCTGCTTTTCAAATGCAAATCTCTGCATTATTTTTTCCTCTGGAGTTAGGAGTACATCCCCTTCACCAAGTCTTCTGTCTACTAATTTATTTGATTTATGTCTTTGCTTATATTCATTTAGTAGAGTGTCTTTCCTCTGAAATGAATAGAAATAATATTACTGACCTTTGGTTATGACCATCTTATACTTTGACCTTTGACTGACTTAGTCAAATTCTCTTACCTCTCACCTAATAAATATGCATAATTTGTTTTTTTTTCAAAAGATTTGATCACAATAAGTAGCCAATATAAAATTATGTTTGGTCTAAAATTAATAAAGGAATTATCATTGTTAATACAGAAAAATGTGCAAATGCTGGTTGTAAAACATTCAGATGTATCATCTTCTTTGGAGTGACCAAGGCAATTCATTATAAATAGGTAATGAAGAGATATCAAAGCTCACTGCTGTCTTAATGAAAATGCAGTATAAAATATCGCCTCTCTGAAACTGTTGCCCAACTTTTTGTAATGTGATAATATTATAAATACTAATTTGACCATTACTTTTGATGTGGCCAATTCATGTTTTCTCATTAGTTTGTACCTTACCTTAGCCAAAGCTTTTGATCTGGCTAATCCTGGTAATCCTTTATCATGTTTAGTTTTACGACCTAAGACAACATGCTTTTGTTTATTTATCCTTATTTCAAAAGGATTAGTTTTCTTCCCACTGTTTGACTTTGTATTCCGGACTTTGTCTGCCATTCCATTCCTGTTCTTCTTGGATTTGGCCATTTCTAGAATTGAACAAAGGAGTGTAGTGGATGCAGTTGCTGATAATAAATTGTACATTTTATTTATTGTTACCAGTTACCTAATATTCATGTTTCCATTCACTGTAGTTAAACATTCAGGTTTGTGGTTCAAGAAGAAATTGTTAAAAACAAAAGTTGACAAATGAGGGATGCACAATGAAGAAAGATAACCTCATATATGACAATTGCTCTGCTCAGTCATCTTTGATGACAGCGGAGCTACATGTATATGTAAAGTCGTTTGCATGTTGAGGTTGGTTTTACCATAGACCTTAGAAAACACTAAGGTCTATGGTTTTACCCAACTTGTTCTATTCATGTATCATTCTCCAGGCGTGCATAGTAAACAAGTCAGAGAATGAATGTTTTGCTGTTTTGGTGTTTGCAACAATATGGCAGTGACAGTAATCTTTAGAAATCACAAATTAGAAAGAATGACAGCAAACTTAGGTTAAGTTTACTGTTATGAAGCATACATGTACTTATCTATTACACCAATCATGAACAGAATTTTGTAGCGAGTATGCATGATTTTTAGTTGCATTTGCCATGAGTTTCACCAGTGCACTCAGCACGTGCTTTGAAACATTTGATCTGTGATTACACAGTATTTCTGACTTAAATAATCTGAGAGTCAAGGACTTTACCGTGTGACGGCACCGCTTTGTTTGATTTTGTGTGTTTTGACAGTACCGGTATATTGACATACTGTAAAATACTTTTTAGGTGTTTTGTGGGGAATTTATTTTCACTGATTTCTGACGAGTTGAATGTAAAATATAGAAAAAAAAGGTATATTCGCTGGATTTTATTTTCACTAAAACATTCCTTCAGTGAAAATAGCGAAAACAAATTCCAAGCTAAAAATAACGGTAAAGTATTTTACAGTATTATGTACAGTGTATTTGTTGAAAGAGAATGGTGTTGACATAAACCAGTGTGGTATATAGCTGCGCACATGGTGGCGCCAGGTGTGTTTGTAAAGAATAATTCTTCGTCAGGCTGAAGCTGCTGAAATTAGGTTTATCAACACAACCATGGAAGAAAAAAGGCGTCCATGTTAAAACTTAATAGAATTCAATCACTGCTCTTGAACTCTTTCAACTTGTATAATTTGTTTTCATACATGTACAAATGTACATGCATTCAACTATATGAGTGTGACCTGCAAGATTGCCATAACTGATTGCCAAAATGTGCTCACCCCAACAGCGATGGACAGTTTTAGTGACCCTCAGAGCTGAATATTAACCTCGGCTTCACCTCAGTTGACAATAAGTTCTTTAGGTCACTAAAACTGTATGTCCATCGCTGTTGGGTTGAATAATTGTATAATATATCACTGCCATAGACTAATTTATCAAAAAAGGACATCCTGATTTTTAGACTTAGGTTAGATTTGTATCCTTTGTATTCTTGGTTACAGTGCTTTTTGCCTTTCAGTTTAAGAATACTTATGGCCGCTTCAAATTTCCCATTAGTAACACTCGTAGATAGATAAATTGACTACGTTGACTTTTTCAATCAAATGGTTGCTTTTGTTGAAAATCATAACTTTTGTCTTCTAAACGTTGACTGTTATCTTCTACATTTCTTGTCTGTATGAAGCCAAATTCTGGCTCTATTCTCCACCAGGAGATAAGGAAATGATGATGAAGCCAGATTATCTAAACTGTTTTGTAAACCAGTTTTACTTCCAGATAGAATGTCTTAAATTCAGCATACATTAGGCAGCTTAGTTTATTATTCATTCATGTTGGATTACAACCGGATCGAAAATGTTTGGTAAATCATTTATAAATATGCACACACTATATTTGCACTGCTATCCATGAACAAAATATGTAAACTTATCTTTATTTATTTTCATTTCCTATTTATATACTTGTTTTATTTATAAAATGCTTTTGCGACATACTTATAGAAACTTGTAAAAGATGTAATAAACTATATTAATATACATCTGTCACCATACACCATAGGTTACAGGGTGCCGTAATTCTGTGGTATTTTACGGGGTATTTTAATTCTACCATATTAGGAAATGCGAATTCCAAATATGGAATGATTATGCGCATAAACGTTCTCTAAAAATATAAACAAACATGGCTGCCACCAGAGTTTGACCGGACCCCACACAAAGAAGTTTGCTGATTCTGTTCTAAACTTTTTGGATTCCGGCATTCCTATGGTGTATCATTGGGAGAAAAAAAAAGTATGATAATAATTGCAGACACCACAGCGGAAGTATCGACCAACGCGCAGTGGCGGTCGATGCAACGGCTGTCGTGCATCCTTTTCGGTATCCTCGTAATAACCTCATATTATTTGTTATCTTCTTCTGTAGTAATATAATTATTACATTATTATCAATTTCATTTCTTTTATAAATTTGTGGATTGAATGTAAATGGAGTCAATGAACAGATCAGTCATACCATTATCAAAATCAGCTACAAAAAGTCTCCCTGACAATGGCAATGTGTACAGTTCACATGGTGTTGCAACGGAAATCGAATCTCCTATGTTGGCGACAAGCGACCACAAATAACTTATGTTATATGCAATATTTTTGAGTAGTTTTTTGTATAGTTACATGTGACAACATTGAAAATATATATCACCTGTTTAGAAGCTGTCGTCCTGTTCTATTTCGGATAAAACACCAGCGTGACAACATTCGTATACAACACGTGTGACCTTTAAACCGGATGTACAAAGGGCTTTTGGGAAATTACGCAACTTCAGACTCAGCTGACAGTCAGCAGACCTTCGTGTGAGAATGACTTGTTGACGCCGCTGAGTTAGGCGCTTGTGGTGTAGGTTAAAAATAAAACTGGTCAATGTTGTTGTATAGTTTGGCAGGCAACTGGTAAACATATAGGCTATCGGCCGTAAAGTTTAACGTGAAGTGTACCTGTCCAGCTGCCGTTGATGTGACCCTGACCGGGGAATGTTGTGATATCCGTCGACGATACAATTTATACAAACCTATAAACTTTTCAAGATGGGTGACGTCTCGGCAGTGCAAACACAAATGTGAGCATATTTTTATATTTTGCTTTAACGTTTCGTGAGTCATGAGAAGGAACTGGGATAATAACTTATTTCATAAAGCATTAAATTATAATATTTATCTGTTTCTAAAGTCAGTGATATTCATATTCAAGGTTTAATTGGTAGTTATGTGATCTGTTTACAGCGATCGACTTTATGAAAACTGAAATATCAAACAAATAAACCATATTCCGCCCACTGCGTTGGACGTCGAGCTGCGCATGTGCGACATTTGTGTTGATAAACATTGATTTTCCCACAATCCAATGCGCTCTTCTAAATGAAATCGCAAGTATGAGGTTTGACCTGGGCGTGACTTGCAATAATTAGCCACAATAGCTGTAATTTTGAACATTTTGTTTGTTTAAATATAGCCACATTAAGATAACATAATCTTACCACATCTGAACCACATCTGAACCACTGTCTGAAAATTGAAACAGGCCGGCATACAGGATTGGATTTTAAAGACAGAGTCTGCAATATGTGCGACAATGACCATGTTGAAGATGAACAACATTTTGTCACAAATTGTCCTCATTACAATGAAATAAGATCAAAACTTTACATTGTAGCTAATAAACGTATACCAAATTTTGACAAATTTAGTAATGAAAATAAATTCATATCATTACTAAGTGACGAGAAAATGTCAATTCCTTTAGCGCAATATTTAAAAAACTGTTTTAATACAAGACAGCAGCACCTACATAAACTAAGCCAGTAATACATTCCTTGTATTCAACTTATTATCTTTTTTTTTTTTTTTATGCCTTTTTGTTCCCTTACTCTTTATGTGGTTATTTTTCTTTTACTAATATCTGATTTGTAACCCTTTTCATCCCCTCCGAGGGATGTTGTGTGTTAATAAATAAATAAATAAATAAATAAATAAACATGTATTGTTTTAGACACAATTGCATAAGAAAAGTTATCCTACGTATGTCTAATGAATGTCACATGAAATGCAACATTGTTGAAGTATATGAAAATTGTGATTATGGGAAATACCACATAAAATAATCAGCAAGAGGCCGGCAGAAGCATTTAGTTCTTGTCTTGTACCATAAACCCTGAGGTTCGCTCGATATAACTAGATTTCAACAGATGAGCACCTTGACGTAACACTGTGCACAGTCCCTCAACTATTGTTGCTTTAAGCAATAACAAGATATTATTGCACAATTCACTACATACATGTATATGCATGAGCCAACATTGGCAGACTTTATTGCTATTACTGGTACATTGTATAGTAGTTTTTAGTGATTAAAACAACAACAAAAAGCGATTAAAATTGGGGAAACAAAATAAAATAGCTCATTCTATAATGGGCCTGGAACTAGCATTTTACCATTTGATACACTGCACCGAGTGACAGAAAAAATTCTAACTTACGTTGTAGTTGAAATTAAGTTTATTTTCAAATTGACTTTGCAAAGACTTTGATAGATTTGATATTATTATATTAAACCTATTTTTTTTAAATATTGCCAAACAGCATCATATGCACTTTTTTCAGTAAAATAAATTTCACCTTTATCAAAATTTTCTGTCATTTTACTTAATTTTCCATGCATAAAATATAATTATATCTATTTTTTGGATGGTGAGTTAGCATCAATATTTGGTCATATGCTAGGCTACATTGTATGGATGATGATGCATTTCTGTAAAATGACTAATTTTCACTGGGTTTATATTTCACTGATTTACCATTTCAGGCATATTCACGGTTTTATTATTTAGATAATGTGTTCTATGCTAAATTTTACATATTCACTGGGTTTAATTTAGTGCATTTTCCAGTTATCGAAATAAGCAAAATTAAAACACAGTGAATAATTAACCCTTTTACAGTATTACATATGTACTGCAGGATTCATACTTACTCAATATTATTGTTATTGACTGCAAAAATATGTAAATGTGATAAACGAGTACCAGTAGATAATTTTCTTGGTAATTAATGCACAACTTAATTAACATGCCTCGGTGCATTCAACACTTTGTTTATATTTTTTATGTTATTGTTATGCATATTTGAATAATAAAACCTCCAGAATTTTTTTTTTCACAACCAGAATATGAAGAGCTCAAAATAACTATTAAAATTAGTCGCATTTTGATTTAATGAAGGTTCTATACTTTCATGGTAAATTATGCAAATGAGCCTTCATAGACCATTGCAAACTGCTTCTAAATCCACTAAAAACAACATCAATGTCAGTATTGTGCTACTGTCATTTTGACTGTCATTTCTATACTGATCAGGAAACAAATCTTGTAGCTTTTAACGCACTGAAATCCTGGATCGAAAATGAATCAAAACATATCCCCCGCCAATGACAGATACTCTCTTGATCATTTAACAGATTTTAAATTAGGTAATATTGAAAATATTGAATGAATTGGTTATGATTTTCCTTGTGATGCGGTGTATCCATGCTGTATTTTCACTTACTTCACCCATGGAAATACGGCTGCAGGATACACCTAATCACTCATGTAAATAAACCTACAAACTTAAGGACGAGGCCATGGCATTCTGTCATACATTGTATTATGTTCTATTTAACCATGGCTTGGTATAATGCGATTGTTCTACTTGTTGTTTTTAGCCACAAACCTGGAATACTACAAAATAGCCACGACTTTGCCAACATATTCAAAGCATTTATTGGTGCTAACTATCTTGCTGTACCCTTCGACTTTCTTCAAAGTGGACTTGTTGTAAGTGTAGACCTTAATTTGTTCATGTGATTTGTTGTTATAAATATTGGTTGGTTTAACACAGTCCCTCTAGAGACTATAGATTTATTTTCCAGACCAGATTATAAATGGATTTTGTTTTAACAAATGCTGTTCCAGAACCATATCGATATTTCTGACATGCCCTGCAAGATCGTGTTCAAAAATTAATGATACAACATGCTTTAGTCGCAACACACAAACACACACATGTATTTGTTTGACGATTCATTTCAACATGGCTGAATAGTGGCCATTTCTTCCATTCTGGGACCAGATCTCAGTCACATTGTTTTCAAACTCAGTACATAGTAACAATGTAACTATAAGCTCAATTATCTATTTTTGGTAAAATTCTGCGCTAGTTTCTCGGCAAGACGAGTCCCACTTACAAAATTTTAAGAAATAGAAATTTGACCCTAGATAACTTTATTAGAGATTGGACTCCAGTTTGCCTGAAAACTGGGTCCCTCTTCAATAATTGGAGTGCGGAAAGCAAAATTTGGGGTTAACGCAATCCCTGATTTTATTCAGTTTGTGTCAAAAAATAAATTATATTTTAACTTTTTGTGGAAAACTAATGATATATTTATGTCTATACCATCTTATTTTTTTCAGCTAGGAGTGATTGGCTTAGCTATAATTGCTGGCTTAACAGATCATTGCTGCCATTTGATTATTAAATGCAAGCAGGAAGCAGTCAGCCGACTCCATACCATTCACCATACCCCATCCAAAATTGACCTTGAGGCGGAAAATGGTGCACTATCAAAAAGTGGAGAAGAATTGCTTGAGCATTTTGAGAGTACCCTGACTTATGGTGATATTGGTCAGCTGTGCATGGGAAAAGTTGGAGTCATCTTAGTGAACATTGGACTGTGTATCACTCAGTTAGGCTTCTGTTCTACATATGTCATTTATCTAGCAACAACATTTGGATCATTCTTTCCTAATAAGGCAGTGTCCACACCAAATATGTCACTCAATGATTTACCGGCACAGCAGCACGAAACTCAACAATTGTATGATTTAAATGACTTCAGTAAATCAACAGAACTGTTGTCTTTTGAAGCTTTCCAATCTTCTATAACATCTGCTATGAATAATATATCTGAAATCATTTCTAATCTGAGCTCGACTGAATTATATGCAGAGAATTCCACCACTTCTACTGTATACAAATCAACAGCACCACCATTTTTTGTACTCATCTTATTTCCACTGCCTGTGTTTATTATATTTGCATTCATAAGAAACATCAGAAAGCTTGGACCAGTTAGTATGCTAGCCAATGTGTCACTGTGTCTGGGATTTGTTCTAATGTTTCTCTATCTTTTAATTGGTGAGTAGACATAAAGATCTTACTACAAACGAGTCAAAGGTTCCATCAAACAAACGAGTCAAAGGTTCCATCAAACAAACGAGTCAAAGGTTCCATCAAACAAACGAGTCAAAGGTTCCATCAAACAAACGAGTCAAAGGTTCCATCAAACAAACGAGTCAAAGGTTCCATCAAACAAACGAGTCAAAGGTTCCATCAAACAAACAAGTCAAAGGTTCCATCAAACAAACGAGTCAAAGGTTCCATCAAACAAACGAGTCAAAGGTTCCATCAAACAAATGAGAAAGAGCAAATAAAATGAAAGTCAATCATAGTTTTAAGGATGTAGTAGACTTTTTTTGGAACATGTTAATCAAAATGATCTTATAAAATCTATTTAACTATATCTAATTGTTCTATGACAAATTCAAAATTAATAACCGGCATTGTGATGACTATATTTACATGTATTTTAATAATTAATTAAAATAAAGTATTCTGCAGTATATGAAAATTTGTCAGTTTTTGTTAAATTCATGCATTCTACAGATTTCACTATCTGAATGTAAAAATGAACATATTGCTAATATAAATTTGAAAGAAAAAACAATTATGCTAAATCGCTGTGACTGTTATGTTTTATTCTACATGTTTCAATAAAACCAATAGTGTTATCCCTTTCAATTTCCTCACAGTACTCATTTGATTCTTCAATAAAGGATTTTTTTAGCAGTCACATGACCACATCAAGGTTGTATTTAATGTAACATTGATTTTTTAATCATAAAATATATAGTTTGATATGGTTTAAAACAATTCTATAAAAATAGTTAGTGTGAATTTAACTTCCTGAAAACCTTCACTGCATCCTTAAGCCCAAATTCGATGGTTATTTTAAACTTCAAAATATATACAATAGATTCAAACTTTATGAAGTGATTTTTCATTTATTTAGCTATTGTCTTTTACAGATATTGAAATCTATGATAATATCAAGCTTATTAATTTTGCCACGTTTGCTGTATTTTGGGGTCATATGACTGCAGCATATGAAGGTATTGGAGTGGTAAGGTGAATTTATTAAATTTAATATTTGATCATTTGGAATATTTGATAATTGGAAAGCAATTGCAAGGATGAAGTTTTGCGAAAATCTCGTACTTCCTGTATTTTTTTCATTGCAATTCTGCAAAATTTTGGAAATTTTTCTCTGAATTGATTTTTGCAGACAGTTGTCTTGATGAAATTTAATACTGTTGAGACTCAAATAGTTATATCTACTAATTTGATGATAAATAATTGTTTTGATTTTCAGGTAGTACCAATAGAGTCTAGTATGAAAGGAAATCGTCACAACTTCTCTGCATTTCTCCATGGTGGAATTATTCTTCTTACTTTTATCCTCGGTGCATTTGGTATAATAGGTTACCTTCACTATGGCGATAGTGTGAGCCAGATGATAACAGAGAACTTTCCTGATGATGATTCTGTGGTAATTATTGTCAAGGTTACTGTGTGTATTGGTATATTGTTCACCTATCCATTACAAATGTTTCCTGTGATTGAAATATTTGAAGGTATATTGTTTACACCACGTGAGATACATGTACATGTGTTTAACTATTAGTTTTATGTTATAGTATTGTTGCTAAAATGCAGAAAAAATCCTACTGCTCACTGCAACTGTATACT